CAAACACTCCAGGCACAACATCAGAGGTCTCTCTCCAAAACAAAGTAGTCCTAGGAACAGCTAAGATACAGAGAACCCTGTCCTCTACCCGGTTTCTGTTAAAGCTCATGAACTTACCACCCCCCCTAACACTATTGCATTACTGGTTGATATTGTTGCAGGGAATAACAATGAAACCTCTGGTCATGTGGCTTAAAGTAAAGAGAGCTGCAGTGACTGAGGTTTCGCTCCTAGAGAAATTGACAAACAAGGTAAATCTAAAACTAAAAATCTCTCGTTTCACCTACACAACCATTTTCTATCCAGTTATTGCTGAGTCCTTCTCCTTTCTTTAGACGTTTAATCACGCTCTGGTTGCCATAGAAGACATATCAGGACAAATAGGACACAACTACATGAGGAGCAAGTATGTATAAGACTTGACACGTAATTTGAAAATATCTTCTCATTTTAAAATAAACTTTAAAATAAGCATTTTGTTTCTTTTTTGCAAAGGTGGAAGTATTTTGAGGAAAACTGGATGTCATGGATTTTGATGAAGCCGTCTGCAAGGAAGAAACAAGACCAAGTCTTTGATGTCTTCCATCAGCTGAACCTCAAGGATGCCATGGAATATGTGACTGAAGTGAGCGTTATTTTGCTAAAGTAATCATTAAAGAAAACTGATAAAACTGCCACATGTAAAGAAAGCATGGTCTTCTTCTGTTCCAGGGTGAGCGGAGGGGCTCTCTGGAGTTTGTCCGTAATGAAAATTCCATTATTGACTTCAAGAAAAAGTCTGAAAGTGAATCCTTCGATATCAACAATGCAAATATGTCAAATGATCTTGGTGCAATGTCCACTACGAGGTGAGCAATCTAGATTTTTATGACAATAGGAGAAGAGCTAAAAGCAGACTTAAAAGTCAGTATAGGATCATGTTGTGAAATCAATGCACTGCAACTGTTAGTTAGATTAGATTAACAAACATCTTCTATGCCTGAAGCTTCAATTTGCCACTGTGCTGTAAAATGGAAACCAGAGTTAATGTACTACTTTAATATTGTAGTATTACTTTACATCGCTGACATGATTTGGTTTGCTTCTTAGTAGAGATCCCATTCCATCAGTGAGCCTGGAAATGCATGAGCAGACCATGAAGGCTGTGAGGGAAGCTGAGGCAATTAACGCTCACCACCTTCTGGATCAGCATCTCTACAAGAGCAGAAAACAGGTAATGAGCACATTGAGTCATTACATCAAGGGCTTACTAAAGCACATAAGTGCCGCGCTTCTATATAATTAGTACAAAAGAAGAATATTTCCAGGCATCAGTGAGAACTATGCTTCAGCATACCAAGACATTTTGACCAATTTTAAGCTCTTAACTTTGTGGGAACAGTTTGAGGATGGCCCCTTCCAACATGACCGTGCACCAGTGCATAAAGTAAAGTTTATAAAGACATAGATGAGCAAGTTCAGTGTAGAAGAACTGGCCCGCACAGAGTCCTGATCTCAAAATACCGGAACATCTTTGGGAAGAATTAGACCGGAGACTGCAAGTCAGGACATCCTGTCCAACATCAATGTCTGAGTTCACTAATAAATTCCCATAAACACACCTAAACCCACGGAAAGCCTTCCCAGAAGAGTTGAAGCTGTTATAGCTGCAAAAGATGAGCTGAGATTATATTAAACCCAAAGGATTAAGAATAGGATGTCACTCAAGTTCACATGTGTGAAGGCAGACAACCAAATACTTTTGGCCATATAGTGTAGTATATAAAGGAAGCACTGGGTGGTAGATGCATTGCAAAGTTGCTTGCAGATGTGCAGGAACTGTGAGCATGAGCTCAACAGATCTTCTAGTCTATTAACACAGAGCTGAACCTAAGCCTAAGCTTGACTTCATGACCTGCTGTTTTTGATTTTGTGAAGGAGTATTAAGCTGTCTTCTCGTCCTCTTGTTTACAGCATCGGCACAGATTCAGTCGCAGCCATTTCGATATCAACAGAGATGAAAAAGAAGTCCAGGAGATCTTCCAGAGAACCATGAGGAACCGACTGAAGTCGTTCACGTCTGCAAAAATGGGCGTCAAACCACCAAAGACGATTGTCAAGCACACACAAAAAGAACAGCAGCAGAAGGTCATAACTTCATTTCTATATTTATTTTCTTCCTGATGTAAAATACCACTTTTCAAAACTTTTTTTTTACTGTTTAGACATAATTAA